CCTGCCAACTGGCTTGGGCCTTTCACACAGCCACCGGCTGATCAGTTGGCCTCTAAGGGAAAAAAGCTGTATTTTGTGCAGATCAAGAGGGGCAGCAGTAGAGGGGAGCACTTTCAGAGGGTGAGTTACTGTCAGTGACCACTTGCCTGTGTCCAGGGTGCTGGTTACATGCCAGTGACTTCAAATTTTGACTCTTCTCCTCTGTTGCAAAGACCAGGACTGACAAGGCAGCCAGGATCTGTTGTGAAGTGCATGTCGCACTCCAACAATGTCATCTGGATATCCCAGGCACCGTCGCACTATCCCCTCATACGGTTAGGGGTTAGCAGATGAATTAGCTCTATATTTTGGCCAACTACCCTGTGACGCTTGCAGCGCAGATGCACGCCCCATCTGTTCTGTCTTCCGGTCTCCCACAAACTGCAGAGACGTATCCACATCCTGCCTTATTCATACGGAGAGCCTGAATCTCCAGTGGACAATCCTTGTTCCCGTTGCCCGTACTGCTGACCCCAGGCCCTTCAGGGCCTCCGTTTCCAGCCAGGCTCTGAACTGAGAGGCCCAAAACACTCCCTGGTGCTCTGCAAGAGGAAGAGATTACCAGCTCCTCCCTGCTCACACAGGCCACGTTAGGGAAAAGTAGCAGACCAGAGACCTAATGGCCAAGCACAGAAAAGAGTCAAGATCAAGTGAAGGCAAAAAGTTTGCATTAGAGGACACCACTGAGAGGTGATAACACATAAGAAAGCAGCTCGTAAGAGGTGCACATCTCTGCTGGGAGTTTTAAAATCTCAACTGGATGCTGAATTCAGCTGGATTTTAATGGGTTAGATGCTCTGATTTCCCTCTTACTACCAGAGGGACAACTAGCCTGTCCCTCTGCTGAGCAGGAACCAGAGCTGAACGGAGCAGTGCGAACTTGGACAAAGTGACCAAAAGATAGAGGATACTTGTGTTTCACGGCTCCAGCTGCCTCGAGTCCTGCCAGCCACAGCTGTGAGACTCATGGCCCGTCTCGGTTGCCAGGTTTGTTTGCTGAAATCCACTGGCTTTGAAACATGTACAAACTACCCCCGGAGACGCGGCTGGGGCCTCCCTGCTGCTTTTGTTTGCGATTTCAAACCACAGTGGAAACTGGTTTTCAGATATGTTAATACTGGAAACAGTTGAGCCAAGATAAAGCTAAAGATCTCTGAAACATGTTTCTCGAGCGCCGAGGGAAGCTTGGTCGTGCTCAGTCAGTAATGTTATATCAGCATCAGGATGGCTTTCTGGAAAATAAAATCTCGCTCGCTAAAGCTAGGCTTGGGCCTGCTGTAGGGCTCGCTGGGTCAAACTCTCTCCTCTGCATGACCCAGAAGGGCAGAGCAGATCCCTGTATGCTTCCTTCCAGCTTTAGCACCTCTGAAGGTGCCTCAGTAAGTGCCTTCACCTGCCGTCTCCCCAGGGAGCTCAGGGACTGTTCAACCCAAAGAAACCGCTACCGCTTTCCATCCCTCACGCTGGTCCGTTGCCAAAGTGTTGCACGAGCTTGGACGTGCCCGGCCAAGTTCTCCTGCTTCTACCTGCACCATGGCTCCCCAGGGAGCTGCCAACACCTGGCCTTTCCCCCAGGGCATATGTGCAAAAAGGTCTGAGAACGTGCCAGAAATAAAGCCAGATCATTTCAGAGCAACCAACCATCGTATTTCTCACATCTGTCAAGAGGACACTTCATACTGAAGTGTCACATTCCTCTAAACTTAAGCAAAATAAAGATTAAGACCCTGGTGTTAAGGAGGTTTCTTCAAAAAATGGTGCAGGTGCAGAGATTTGTGCTGAAAAGGGTACTTCTGGAGGCTGCGGAGGGCAATCTCTGCATGCACCCCTCCACTGCTGGTGCAGAGGGCAGTGCAGGACCAAACCTAAGCCCTGGAGAAGCTTGTCTCTTTGTCCACGATTACGGATGGGCACCACCTTCCTCGAGCTTATATAAACTTCTTCCAGAAGGAAGAAGCTAGGCTTTCTGCCAGCTCTAGGTCAGTTTGTATGTCAGTTTGTTACAGGTAGCTGGACAAAACCACGCACGCACCTGTTTTCTCTTCCACTAATGGCACAGAAGCAGTAACACCTCCCCTGCCACCTACGTGTATGACTAGGATACATCAGCGCTCTAGCCCAGGGCAAACATGACAGATCCAAGTATGGAGTGCAGTGAAACACAAATGGAAGGACTCCTGGGTACCACGCCAGAAGAGACCTGATGAAGACGCAATAGCTAAAGATGAAGATTTCTTTAAAGCCAACTAAATCGATATCCCTATCATGCATATATCGCATCGGCTGTATTAAAAACACATGCAACATGCACAGTGTGTAAATACCCCATGTCTGCAGCACACCCCACAAACGACACCTGCACACCTCCTCCCTGCAGGGTGCGTGCCTGTGCCCCGCACAGGCAGTGCCATGCTACGGGGTAGATCTCTAGGAACCCAGCACAGGAATCTGTCACCATGTAGCCGTGCCATTTGCCCTTGGGGAAAAACCTTCACAATTTTTCCCTGATGGGATGTTATCTTTGTTTAGCAGCCTTAAAAAAACCTTTCCCCATCACAGACTTCTGTGGCTGGCTGTGCCTGAGGTGGCTTTGGGACATCTGTCTTATAGGGGATGGGGTGATTTTATATTCCAGCTTCCAATACTTATTCGAAAAGGAGGGGATTGTAGTTATCTCTAGTGGTTTGCACCTCTGGTCTGCAAACTTTATTTTGGCAGAGACCTCAGAAAGATCCCACTAGAATTTGTACATTTTCTCCATAGGATGCTCGGATAAAAAAACCTCAAAATATTGACAGAGAAAAAATATTCGTGCTTCTGTTAGAGGACTTCCATCTTTAAATTATCTCAGTGAGTACAGGAACGCCGACCTACAAATTAGGTAATGGCTAGGCATTTGGCAAAGGAGGCAACGCTATCTGGATCTTATGGGGGGCTCAAAGTCCGCTGGAGTTCAGACATAAGGAAGCATATTGAAATACTAGATGGAAATACAGCACTTTGCAGTAAAAAAAACAAAAGGGAGTGATTGCGAGCAGGAATCTTGGCTCAATTGACTTTTTTTTTTTTTTAAATAAAACAGAAAATGGCATCATGTTCCCAGGGACATGCTGGCAAACAGCAGGGATGGAATCTGCGAGAATCTATATTTTATATGCTATAACTTAATATGGCTTTTTCATAATTTTAGTGTTTTTATTGGTTCTTAAATGTGCACAATATAAATACATGAACCAGCCAGAAGTACAGCGCGTGGAAGGCTGTGTGCTGAGGCCGGACATTTAGCCATGCCAAGCTGCAGAGGGAGCAGCAGATAGCAGATACCACCCAGCGCCCATGGTTTGGTCCCGATCCTGCACAGAGCTCCCTGCGGGTACAAGGGTTGTGGCCAAGTATGGCTTTACTCGGGGCAGGACTACAGCCTCTTTCTGCACATTTATGGTGTTGCAGAGCGGCACAGCGGTCTTAAGCCAATGTTTCCACTTTCTAGTCGAGTCAGTGCTCAAAATCCCAACCTCAACCCAAAAATAACATAAACCCAACCCCTCTGCTGCTTCCCTCCCCTCACGCCCTTCTTCCTGCCCTCCCTTTAGCCAGCCAATACGTCACCAAAGGGAAAAACAACATGCTTCAGCAGCGAGCGGAGAGCGTCCACCCCGGGCGCCGCGATACCTGCCTGCCCTGCCCTCCGGCACCGCCGAGCGAGCCCGCGCCAAGCCTGCCGCGATGCCCCTGGCCTCGCTGCTCCGGTCACGGAGCCAGGATCGCGGTTTCCATTTCTGCAGCGTTGAGATCAGATCTCTAACCAAACCAGACCTGCCTAGGAAATTCCCCGAGGAGTCAGAAATCACTTGCTGCTAGTTTTTTTGTGTGTGCTAACTCTATTTAAGGGGGATACCTGAGAAAGGAAAAAACAGAAGTGAGCAAATAATGATAAAATGGAAGTGAGGGACTGCAAAACCTGTCCAGGTCCAAACTCCAGGCCAAGAGTACCTACGACGGCCTGAGGAAACTCAGCTCCTCACAGCCCTCAGGGCATCTCCGTTTAATACCCGGCGAGGTGGTGCATCCTAGAGAGATGCAGCAGAGAGGCACAGAAAGGCTACGCAACCTGTTCCCAGGCCTATGCAAAGCCTGTGGCAAACCACAGAAGCGACCCACATCTCAAATCTGCATCCTGATTAAAAGGCCAGTCCTTCTCCTGGATGTAATTTTCTGCAAAAAATAACATACTTGCAAATAACATACTTTATGATGCACTTGGGACAAGCTGCATCTCCGATGACTTCTTGCCCTAGCAATGGATTCTGGTTTACTCCCTGCGTCTTCCTCTAGAACTACCAGGTGTTTTGCTGCAACATGGCATGCCCTGTTGCAGTAGTAACAATATCTACAGTAATTGCTGTCCTCGGGGAAAAGGGGAAAAGGAGGCCTATGCATATTTCTTGCTAGGTTTAAATGAAGTCCAGCCTCCCAAGCACAACACTGTAAGCTTCCTTTTGTCTCTTGTTGCAAAAAAATCTTGTCTTTTCAGACGAGCTAGCTCACGCTTGCACCCCAGAGCTCAGCAGGTGCTGGCTGTGCCCTGCTGTCTGAGCCGGAGAATAGAAAGCCTCCTGCTGCTAGCTCAACCTGGCAGGGCATGGGTGACACACCTGGGCTCCCTCTTCAGCCATGAGGAGGGTTAAAGCCATCTTGCACGCACGGATTTAGACAAGAGCACCCAGCACTCTTCAGTAATCCTTTTGGGCAGGATGCAACTGCCGGTTTGGAAACCTGTGTGCGGTGACCCTACAGACAGGGTGCAGGAGCTTTCTTGGGCCCATACTCATGCCCTTGAGAGCATGGGATTTTGCAGGCCCAGATGGCTGCCTGCACAGCCCGGGGAGGAGAGCACTAGTCACTACAGGAAACCCACGGACCGGCGGATGGAGACGAGCAGGCTGGTTTCTCAGACTCACTCGGACACCTGTGATTCCCGGATATCCAGGAGGCCCTTCTTTTCCTTTCAGTCCTTCGTTGCCTTTTTCTCCTTTCTCTCCTTCCAGGCCTTGCTCTCCTTTGTCTCCCTGCGGAAGAGAGGAGGGCGTGAGCTTTTCATACCCACACAACACACGGGTCACCGTATATGGCTCTTGCAAGGAAAAAAACCACCACATAATTAATATTTCAGGAGTCTGAGAGGAAGAGCGCCTGCAAGCAAAAGGATGAATGAGGCTGAGTCATAATACACTTGACATTTAACGAAATGAGCAAAATTAGGTTTTTTTTTAAAGCCTCTTGGCTGGAGGAGGAGGAGCTCCCCCATTACACAGGGTAATTTGAACCCTTCACTCCTCCTGCAGTAAGGCCTGAACCTCCCACGTGAATGAGACAGGCACACAAGTCTGAGAGACTCCCTTGCCTCATCCAGAAGCCTCGAGCTCAGGATACCGAAAGATTTTTAATAGGACACGTTTGTCAGGATCGGCCATTTGGCACTTGCTGTTTAGCGGGAAGCGGCCCAGGGCTCAAATAAACACTCTGCAAAACAATGTCATCCTGCCCCTGTGAAGGATTTGCGGTTGGAGCAGTAGGTATCACGTCAAATCACTGTTCTTACAATTGACGGCACAAGATTTTATGGAGACAACCAAAAGAGCCAATTCTGTTCTCACAGCAGCACCAACACTTGTGCAACCAACTGGTCTCGACGGAGCAATTCTTGATTTGCATCTGCGTTAGTGAGAGCAGAGCCATGTCTCTTCTGGTTAAACAAATGTTTGCACGGCAAGCAGTGGCTCTTTTACCGTCCAGAGACACGTTTAGGTTGAAAAGATCTGGTTTGGTTCAAGACCCTTTGGGGACGGAGGGGCAAGGGATGGCAAGAGAATACACAAGTCTTCACTGTCTTTAAGGAGGAATCTTTCAGTCTGACACTCAGAGATAAGCAGAAATAGAGACGCGTGGCAAATAGTTTAACTAGAGCGAAGCAGTAAACTGTATTGTTGTGGGACCGGTTGCTTTTTTCTTTCCATGGAACAAAACTGTTGGCCTGTGTGGAAAGGCCGGCTGCGCAAGGACAGAAATCAGAGCCCTTTTCCAAAGGCAAGGTAGCAGCCTCACGGCTCCTACATACACAGGGCAACGCGAGACCTGAGTAAGCATTTGGGACGTTGCCAAGAGGAAGGGGATCTGGTTTCTTTACTCGTGAACAATGTTATGGTCAGTGGTGCAGGGCAGAGTGAGGGATGATTCTTGATTTCCCCTGCCAGGACCAGGAATTCCTGATTAGTTGGAAATTTAATCAGCAAACTCAAATAAACCAGACAAATTGTTGGAAACTAGACTTTGAAGAACTTGACCTTTTTGGAGACCTGATCACACGCCAAAAATGTGGGTAGAGGAGTGAAACATGAGGAGTCCTTTGTAAAAAGCAAAGCTTTACCCAGCTTAAACTTGACAATATGTGAACTTGCAGAAGAAAAAAATCCTTAGTTCTTATTTCAAGATAAATTATCGCATAAATCTGAGAAGCGAGGGGATAACAGACAAGGGACAACTTTGCATCAGAATGCCTTGCCTGCCACAGACCCTGCTGGATCCCAAATTTCCCAAGGTTGCAGCTATCAACAGAGAAGTGGAACTGCAAGCCGTGCCAGGCCTCTCTCCATGCCAGGCAGACTCGGTGAGATGTGATCCCTAAAGGAACAAAAATGGTCCTAGAAATTACTGCTCCAAAAACAAGCAAAACCTAATTCAATTTTGAAAGGAATAACAATAACAGAAAAAGAGCAGAGAAAAGAAAGATTTGATCTACGGAAAAATGGATCAGCTAAAATGCACAATAAGCAGGAGAGATCACAGGAGGAACAAGGCAGTGGAAAAAATTCATCACCCCCGCAGCCGTGCTGTGACTACTGCTTGCCGAGCACACTGCTCTGGTGTGAGAAGCAGCGGTTTTAACAGGCATAAATAGGTAATAAAAGGACTGAAGGTAGCGTGCATTGAACTTAGTCCCCGGGTGAGTCTCATTTCTCTGAGCAAAAACCTGATGAGTGATTCTTTAGGGCAGGGAAAGCCTTTTACGGAGCTTGAGTGGCCAAGGTGGTGGGTCCCACCTCTGCGCAGGTGACTCAGGTCAGAGGGAGCAAGGCCACCTGTGTTAGCACGTTACTGGTACTAGCAAACGCTACCGTCGGCTGGCAGGGAGGGGCCAAGACTGGGATTAAAGGGGGTAGAAGACCCTGCGATGGGGATTTCAGACTGTGCCCTTTGAAAGGACCAAGATAATCTCTGGCTAAAGACGGCATCTCCAGGGCATGGGAGAAATCTGAAGAGCCTTGGGTTGCGTGACCAGGGAAGCAAGCAGGGCCATTCCTAAAGACTAGGTTACAGATTAAATCTTTATAGGATGCACGATGAGGGATGTAAAAGCTGCTGGGAGCCAGCACGGGGGTGGCTCTAACCACTGAGACACAGAGAGGAGAAAAAGCCCAACTAAAATAACCCAGCCTGGCTGGGCTCTCTAACTGTGAACGCAGCACCGAGCTGCAAACGGCTGCGGTGAGGCTGCAGGCAGGCTGCAAGCGTCCGTGGGATCCTGCCTGAACACAGCCTGGGACACGTGTCACCGTTAGCTCCTTCCCACTACAGGCTGTTTACAGAACGGATAAACAGTCTGGCCAGAGGCATCTGATGGTGGGAGGGCGGAGACAGGCTCAAAGGCTTCTCAGCTAAGGGTAGCAACAGGCACTGGGTCAAAACCCTTAGCAAAAGTGGAGAACGGGAGGCTCAGCAAGATGAAACAGAAATACTCAGGAGGAGCTAAACTGCTGGTCCAGCCTGGACCCCCCAACCCTCCCATGCCCCTAAAGGTGATGCTGGGGTTGCATCCTGCCTGGCAAGGGGAGCAGGGCAGAGGCTTATTGCACAGATGCAATAATCCCGATAACCCCCCTTGGCTTCAAACGCCCCCAGCTTCCTGCCCACGGGAACACTATGGCCCTGAGTGCACAGAGGGTGCGCGACGGCTGAAATTAGGCACACCATTAAGGTTTACCTTAACACCATCCGGCCCAGGCAGTCCGCTGTCCCCTTCCAGCCCTGATTCTCCCTGCAAGACAGAGAGGCAAACAGACATAAGGCTGTGTCCAAACTTCCTTTTGTTTCTGTGCTCTTGGCAGCCGGCGCGTTGCAGAGCAGCAGAGTCGTGCTGCAGCGATGGGAGCCCCAGGTGGCACCTCCGTGCTGATGCCCTTGGTGCAGGTGGAGCCAACGCTGCCGTTTGGGGCAGACAGGCTCTGCGCGGGTCGGCCTGTTTGAGGACACACATCCTGTCTGCCCCTTTACACTGAACGAGCTCTTCCTGGAGCAAGCAAAGAGTGCAGCCTCTTGCTTTATTTTGAGCCATATTTTCTCCTCCACAGACCCCACCACCAC